GCAAACTAAGCCACCTGATTTCAGTTTGATTTTGGTATTGAAATGGGCGAAGTTAGAGTGCATGCCAGTTTAATCGTAGAGGACGTAGCTAGCTTTCTTTCAGCAGCTAAGAAGCTTGTCGAAGAAACCCAGGTAATAGCTTTGTATTTAACTTCTTATCTCCTACCAAAGCAGAAATAAAATAATACTCTTATACTTAAAAAAATAGAGGGCTGGCAGATGAACTGCGTACTTTTTTCTGAAAGGCACTTCTCAAGTGGCAGATTCTCTGAGAAGTGGTGAATAAATCTCCATTCTCAGCAGTTTTACTCCCTCCCCCAAAAGGGCTAATCTAGGGGCGGATCTAGGATTTTCTCGAGGGGTGGGCGGATTTTCAAAAAATTTCGGAAAATTTTTTGACCTTTTTTTTAGGTCGACCAAATTGATTTTCTTAGCTCTCCTAAATCACTATAAAGACCTCATTTTGACCCAATTTTCTGCGCCGCCTTTAAATTTTTGAAAAAACAGGCCATAAAATGCGTTTTTTTGGATTGCGCTCCCCCCTCAAAATTAGTATATTAGGCACCAAAGGCGCCTTTAGAAAAAATTTTTAGTGGAGAGCTGTCCACAAAACAAACAAAAGCTTTCAGAAATTTACTCAAAATGGCCTTTTGACCCCTTTGAAAACTCTTTGCTCGTTTCTTCAATTTGAGTTTTGCTAAAAGGGATCTCTGTCCTTTACTAGAAGGCCTTCATTGATAATTTTTCAAAAAAAAAACGTCAGAACTTTCAAAACATTTTTGAATATCCTAGATCCACGTTGCCTCTCTCATCATACCAAGAGCTTCAGTTTTTTTTTAATTTAGTGTCACTCTAAACCAACGTATCGTGCAGCTTCTTGTTTTAGAAAGAAGTAGGATGTTTGCACTACCAACTGTACAAAGAGACAGGCAAGGAACACTGTTTCGCAATGATAGAAACATGGGAATCTGTAGAAAAAGAAGCAGCGCACATGGAAACTGAACATGTGAAACGATTTCTTGAATCGCAAAGAACCAATGTCACTATTCACATCAAGAGATTCAATCAAGTGTTTTGATTCCGGCGTAGCTTGTAATTTATTTATCACAGCGTAGGAAAAACAACCTGAACAGTTAAAATATCTCGTTGTTTGCAGCAAAGACTCTTCGAAATGTCTAAAATTAAGTTGATCTGATTATACTTCGTCACACCTTGATATTCATCAATAAAAATCAAGTTTTCTTAAGGCGTTTTTCGAAAAATCAATATAAAATTTAACATTCGAATAGAAAATCCTAAAATCTAAGAAAAATCTCTTCATAGAAAATTCTAAGAAAAAGGTAGCATATCATGAGCAATGTATAATTCCAGCAGTTTGAATGTTCTCATGGACAAATCAAAGTTCTTGTGAACACGCAATAGCCGTTAAACCAAAGTTATTTTTCTATTTAGTATAACCCTATTGAACCAAAGTTGTCAGGTTTTTCTTTTTTGCCCACTATTATCTCCGCAACGTCGTTTTATCGTCCTTCAAGTGTTCATACAGCCCAACAAAATCCAGCTTCTCGCCTATCACTAAAGAGCAATCTATACGGATAATATAACTTAGAGAAGAGACCAGGCACCCCTTTACACTCGGCCATCATCAGCACTTTCAGCAAATCAAAGGGACCCATCACGTTTTATGGCCAGCCGCATTGAGGCAAAAGCAAAACCATTTAGTTGAATTAACTCACGAGCGAAGAACATCACAAACTTCTTTCCAAATGGTTTCTATCCACGAAGAAACTGCTAACTGCACAATGTTACCCGGTTATATAAAAAGCTGCATGACAAAAAATGTTATTAGATAAAAATGAAAATACTTAAAAACAGTACATATTTTGCGTCTTATTCTTTTTTTCACACCTTACTACTGTTATACTTCGCTAAAACTCTCGATGACAAACTTCGAAAATCGAATTTCGAAGATCAACAACCTGCTGGGAAATATCGTATAAATGGAATTCAAAAATTGCCGCAATAAGATTTTCTACTATTTCAACCTTATCTTTTTCGCAATAACGATTATTGAAAAAGTTGCGTTTGTTATCCGTTGCATTTTCCGACTGGTCGTAGATATGCATGCATACAAAAGCATACCATTTTGAATTACTGGCTTATAAAAATTAGAATTTGAGATGACTTCGGAAAACAATTTTGATACAATTAATGAGTCCAATAAATTTAGCTGTTTTCAATGAAACAAACTGAATATGACCTTTGAAGTTAAATTTCTCATCTAGATATACACCCAGGTAATTGACAGATTGAACCTGTTCCGGTCCATGGCCGTTCAATTCTATATTAGAGTTCTTGTTGAATTTAAAAATATATTTTTTTTTGTTCAGTGTAAGATCGTAGAATTCAACAGTTGGTTAACATCCCCAGATCTTGCGCAAATGAGAAAACTTTTATTGAACTTTAAAATAAAGCTATATCACCGGCAAATAAAACCACTTTAGTGCCGTCAAAACGTTGGAGTGAATCATTGATGCAGATTAGAAACAAACCTTGAACCCTAAAGCAACCCACTTACAATTGATTTTAAGTTGGAAGAAAAACTAGGTAAATTTACAAAATGCAATTGACTTAAGAATACAAGATTACACGAATACAATTAAAATAAGTTTAAAACTCAACTAAAGGAATTTAAAACGCTATCGGTTCATATATAATAGCCTTAAAGATCTCGGTGTCTCTTTTACGAGCGACTAGTTTTGCTAATTTAAAATTTCCAGAATAGATTACATTTTCAAGCACTCACGGAACAACTCCCAAAAATTGACCTATTAATGACTCAAAAACATTCAAGATTTTGTTCGATCTTTTTCTTCATGTCCCTCAGACAATTTGATTGTGATCGATATTCAAACATCTGAAAGTTCGTTCCTTGACGGTAGTTGGACCCAGCCACATGAATGCCTCAACTCTAACTTTCACACTGAAGCATCTAGTTCAGTATCAAAAAACTGACTTTGGCAACGATTGAAGCAAAGAAGTCATCCTGGAGCTCTGCAATTGATTAATTAACTTCTAAGTAATTTTTACTTTTTTCTTCACATTTAATTTCATTATCATTTTTTATTATGTTTTCACTAGTTTTTTCAGATGACACCCTGTTTTAATACTATGAAAAAATGGCTTCTCGAATAATTTTTTTAAGTTTCGTTCTCTGATTTCTGTATTTTTAATGTTTCTGACCTATCGGAGTGTTCAACATTTCTTGGCGTAACCTATTCTTTTTAGGTATTTCATATTCAATACATTTTGATGTGAAGACGATTTCTTTTTTGAACAGGATAGGTTTTGAGTGGAGCATGTCTTCCAATAACGCTTGAGACAATTTGTAAAAAATTTTCTGACAATGCTGTTTTGCTGGAAATATGATTCGGTGGCGATAGACTGTTTCCGAAACCAAGCAAAAACAGAGTAAAATTGAGAGGGTTGCTTAAATATTCAATTGGCCAGAGAGTAATCAATTCACTTACCAAACACATGTTTGTATCTCATGTCATAATTAGAAGATAGTGCTCAGAGATAATTAATTTATCAATAATAGCGAAACCTACTCCAGTCGATAATACTTCCTCAGTTGACCTTGTAGATAATGTTCTTTCGCGAGTAACAAGATGCTCTGATATCACTCTTAAATCTTAAGCTTCATTTGTATGCGTTTATTTAAGCAATTGCTTGCTTCCACTAGAAACATCAATATTGGAGTCACCGACCAGGATAGTATTACAGCTCGTTAAAAGAGATTGGAGCTTTGCAAAAAAATCTTCTTTATACTGGCGGTTTGAGGAGCAGAACATTTTTAAGTTCTTTTTATTCACAGCCAATTGAATTCCAGTAACTTAAAGATCTACTACTCCTATTGAAGGTTAATACAGGTGTGGTTTAACAAAAATAGCGACTGCCTCATTTTGTTTGACTTTATTTCTTAACATTGAGGTTGATTAGTTCTCTAATTTGAAATGATGATAGCGGTTTTTTGATGGATGAATGTTCATGATATTCAAATAAATCTATAGCTCATATTATTGGCACCTCAGCGATTCTATATTAAGAAAAAGACTTACGAGCCATTCGCTTTCCTTAGCAGTAGCAGTAGGAGAAATATTTTTTTTCACCCATTATGAAACTTTATTTAAACCAGACAGTTGACTGTTTATCATTTCCAGTCTGTTAATTTTGGCACTTACTCTGAGCCTCTTTAGTAACAATCAATGTTTTTCGATCATTTCATTCGCTTGTTGTTCGTGTTCAGAATCGGCGGCGGGTCTTTATTGCTCTATTGTTTAGATATTTTAGATTTTTTCTATAAATAAGGTTGTCTAATCGCTTTCGAATTACTGCAGCATAGAGATTTCGATTGAACAGTATTCTTCGTGATTTTGAAATCCATAACTTAAGCTTTTTTGTAGCTCATTGTCATGTTTTTAGAGCATGTCATTCAAAAACATAGGTTTTTTTATTCTTATGATTTTGCTTCGTTTTGAGCATCGAACATCTGGCATATAATTCATTTTTGTCTTAAAATAAATGATTTTTGCTATCAAATTTGACGAAAATTTTCTTCTTCCGTTTCCCGAATGGATGCCAATTCTTGACATTGTTTGGATTGAGTGAAAGTCGCGGATAAGTATGGAAGAGGTCGCATCACCTTTCTTGAGGTTCTAGCTGTTGATTGGCGCATGTTCCAAAAAAATGCAAGCCTTGGAGCTGTACGTTTCCCAGTCGCTCCTTCGCAATTCCATGTCTATCATAGAATTTTTGACGTTTCGATTTTCTAACTTTTGAGTTTCAATAGTCAGTGTCTTGGATTGCAAATCCTCCATAGTATGATTTAGAATTTATTTCAGGACTTCATCACTGTCCGTCATTTCAATCAACTGCTTCATTTCATTAGCGGACTGAGCCCTCATCTCAGCCATCTGATGTTTTCGAACCGATATTTTCAATGATTTTTTAAAATTTTCACCTTTTCGATAAAAAAAACCCTGTGTCCGCACTTATATGTGATAGAAGGCATTCTTGTATGCTGGTAATATTTTGTTTCAGAAATCCGCCTTTTAGTTTTCAAAGTAATTAGTAGTCATTGCCTTGGAACAAATGTTTTATTCTAGTAGGCAGTTATGAAGCCATGTAGTCGTACAGTCAGCAAAAATAGTGATATCGCAGAATGGCCAAGGAAAAAAATAAAAATTACCAAAAATTTATAAAATTTTCCCAGTCCTGTAAATTAAATTAGTGAAAACAACAATTACGCACAAAACTACCATAGACATATTAGAAACTGGCGGCAAGGAAAATAAAGCAAATTTTCTTTTCGTCTGGATGTATTGGAAAAAAGTGGCACAAAATTACGCAAAATTACAGTAGTTTAAGTATTCCAAAATAGCTGCAAAAATAGCTGCTGAAATTGGCAGCGGTTAAACATCTTCACAAGAAAAAAGATTTATAGTGAAAGATACAAACAACTAGGTGGTGCTAGGTTATTAGGACAACAAGACAGTAAGACAATAAGACGACAAACGAACTTTAAAACATTTTAAAAGAATTTTTCGAGTTTAATTATTATTAATTTTATAGAAATACAACCGAAAAAACGTGCGTAGCGTCGTCCTAAATCCCCATCAAAAAAGGCTGTTGCATTAACAGCTGCTGTTTTAGTTGCCGGAAACAGCTTGCTATCGCACTGCAGTTCCATGAATCAGAATTGATTAAAAATAAGTTTGTTCAGTGTGATATTTGGATCAGATATTTGCTAGTAAACACTCTGGTAAAAAACTCAAAGCAGAAAGAATCAAAGAATCAAAGCAGAAAGATATATTTTTTTAAAATTTTTTTCATTTTGATTGTACAAATTTTTTTAAAACACATGTTCTATCTCTATCAGACTTCCGAAAAAAATGCCTGATTCGATAAGTGAACTTATTAACAAATGGTTATTTGTTCTTGATGGATCCTCTAAAAAAACTAAAACTGCGCATTGATACTGGTTCCATTTCCGGCACAAATTTCAAGCTTGAATTTAGCAGGAAAACATTTTTCCCAAGGTCTTTTAAGGTGACTAAGATAATTAATTTTTTACCACACCAATAGCCAATCGGCAACCCTGGTAGCTGTCGACCAAAAAAAAACTAATTCTACCTCCTGTAAAACCTTTTTTTTATTAATTAATCAGCCCAAAAATTTGCTCCAAAGCAAATCGTTTCCAAAAATTATGTCGATTGTATCAACAACTGAGATCACGTTCAGTGTTTTATAAGGGTTAGGTTGGACTTGCTTGTTATAATAATTTAAGAAAAGCTTTTGTCACTATCGATCACACCATTTTGGTACAGAAACTAGAAACGTATTGACTTTAGGGGGTTCGTACTGGATCTCTTAAGACCATACTTCAGTTACACAGGACAGTTTGCTTCTCATGATTCATAAAAATCTGAAAAACTTGATATCACAAGCGGTATACCTCAAGTCTCTCTATTAAAGCCTTTGCGGTTTCTCTTATAATTTAACGACTTGACAGAACTGTTTCCTGACAGCGAGGTGTGTCTATCTGCTGATGATACTACTATGATAACAGCAGCACTAACGAGAAGGATACTAACTTGTTTTACGCAGAGTCTAAAGAGAGATGAAGATTGGTGCACCAATAATCAATTGTCAATTAACTCTTCAGAGATGTAAATCAATCACTTTGGCAGAAAGATGCCTATAACTACTACTGCAAAATTTTTGGTGGGCTTCAAGTTCAAAACACAGACATTTTTAAATATTAGGTGATAAAAAAACAGCC